CCCCCCCCCCCCCCCCCCCCCCTCGCCGCCCCCGCCCCCGCCCCCCCCCTCGCCGCCGCCCCCCCCCCCCCTCGCCGCCCCCCCGCCCCCCGCCCCCCCCCCCCTCGCCGCCCCCCCCCCCCGCCCCCCGCAGGAGTTCCCCAGGAAGCAGGAGCTGCACCGCAACATGCTCGGCCTTCTGGGTAACGTGGCCGAGGTGAAGTCCCTGCGGCCCTTCCTCATGACCACGCAGTTCGTCACCGTCTTCAGGTGACACACACACACACGTACAGACACACACAGACACACACAGACACACACAGACACACACACACACAGACACACACACACTCACGTACACACATACATGTACACACAGACACACACAGACACACACACACAGACACACACAGACACACACACACACACAGACACACACACACACGTACACACATACACACACACACTCGTACACACAGACACACACACACGTACACACACACACACACAGACACGTACACACACACACACGTACACACACACTCGTACACACACTCACGTACACACACACGTACACACTCACGTACACACTCGTACACACACTCACGTACAGACACTTTCACACACACACACAGACACACACACACACGTACACACACTCGTACACACACACACAGACACATACTCACGTACACACACACACTCACGTACACACACACACTCACGTACACACAGACACACACACACTCACACAGACACACACACACACGCAGTTCGTCACCGTCTTCAGGTGACGCACACACAGACACACACGTGAACACACGCGCACGCCTACGCACACACACGGACACACACAGTGACACACAGTGACACACACACACATGGACACACACACACAGTGACACACACACAGTGACACACAAACAGTGACACACACACAATGACACACACACACGGAAACACACACACGGACACACACACACGGACACACACACACAAACACACAAACACACACACACGTGTCAACACACACACAGACTCTCCCGCTCCCTCGCGTGACGCACACACAGTGACACACACAGTGACACACACAGTGACACACACACACACAGTGACACACACAGTGACACACACAGTGACACACACAAACAGTGACACACACACAGTGACGCACACACAGACACACAGTGACACACACGGACACACACACACAGTGACACACACAGTGACACACACACACAAACACACACACAGTGACACACACACACAGTGACACACACAGTGACACACACACAGTGACACACACGTGTCAACACACACACAGACTCTCCCGCTCCCTCTTCGTGCGTGACGCACACACAGTGACACACACAGTGACACACATAGTGACACACACAGTGACACACACAGTGACACACACACACACAATGACTCACACAGTGACACACACAGTGACACACACAGTGACACACACACACACAGTGACTCACACAGTGACACACACAGTGACACACACACAAACAAACACACACGTGTCAACACACACACACGTGTCAACACACACACACGTGTCAACACACACACACGTGTCAACACACACACAGACTCTCTCGCTCTCTCTCCCCGCTCCCTCTCCGTGCGTGCGTGTGCGTGCGTGCGTGTGTGCGTGTCTGCGTGTGTGCGTGCGTGTGTGCGTGTGTGTCTGCGTGTGTGCGTGCGTGTGTGCGTGCGTGTGTGCGTGCAGCGAGCTGCTGGAGAGTGACGCGGACGGCATAGAAGTGTCGTACAACGCGTGCGGCATGCTGGCGCACATGCTGCACGACGGGGAGGGCGCTTGGGGCGACGTGCGGCCCCCGCGCCACCTGGTCGCACAGCGCATGTGGAGCGCCATCGCGCGCTGGGACGCCAGCTCGCGGCGCAACATCAACTACCGGTGGGGCTGGCGGCACTACCACCACTACCACCACCACTACCACTAACACCACAACCACCACTACCACCACCACCACTACCACCACCACCACTACCACCTCGTGGCTCAGCGCATGTGGAGCGCCATCGTGCGCTGGGACGCCAGTTCGCGACGCAACATCAACTACCGGTGGGGCCACCACTACTACCACCACTACCACTACTACTACCACTACTACCACTACTACCACTACTACTACCACTACTACCACTACTACCACCACCACTACCACCACCACTACCACTACTACCATCACCACTACCACCACTACCACCACTACCACCACCACCACTACCACCTGGTGGCTCAGCGCATGTGGAGCGCCATCGCGCGCTGGGACGCCAGCTCGCGGCGCAACATCAACTACCGGTGGGGCTGGCGGTGTCACGGCGCTACTCCGCTAGTAGCAGCACTGCTACTACTACCACTACTACCACCATCACCGCTACTACCACCATCACCACTACTACCGCTACTACCACTACTCCGCTAGCAGCACTGCTACTACCGCTACTACCACCGTCAACGCTAGCACCACTACTACCACCATCACCACTACCACCATCACCACTACTACCATCACTACCACCATCACCACTACCACCACTACCATCACCACTGCCACCACTACTACCACCATCACCACTACCACCACCACTACTACCACCATCACCACCACCATCACCACCACCATCACCACCATCACCACTACCACCACTACTACCACCATCACCACTACCACCACCACTACTACCACCATCACCATTACCACCACTACTACCACCATCACCATTACCACCACTACTCCCACCACCATCACCACTACCACCACCACTACCACCATCACCACTACCACCACCACTCCCACCACCATCACCACTACCACCACCACTACCACCATCACCACTACCACCATCACCACTACCACCACCATCACCACTACTACCATCGTCACCGCTACCACCACCACTACCACCACCATCACCACTACCACCATCACCACTACCACCACCACTACCACCACTACTACCACCATCACCACTACCACCATCACCACTACCACCACTACCACTACCACCACTACTACCACCATCACCACTACCACCACTACCACGACCACCACCATCACCACCACCACCACTACTACCACCACAACCACCATCACCACCATCACCACTACTACCACCATCACCACTACTACCACCATCACCACTACTACCACCATCACCACTACTACCACCATCACCACCACTACCATAGCTGCTGTAGCTGCTGCTGCTGCTGCTCACCACTCACAGCACTTGCCCTCCCCCCTACCGCCTGTTAAGGCTACGCGGGGGACCTTTGTCTTCGTGCCTCCGCAGGTCTTTTGAGCCGATTCTGAGGCTCATTCCACAGTCGGTGTCTCCCGTGAGCCAACACTGGGCCACGTGGGCCTTGTACAACCTCATCACAGTCTACCGTGAGTGAGCGCCCGCTCGCCTGCTCGCCCGCTCGCTCCTTCACTCGCTCGCCCGCTCGCTCGCTCATTCACTCGCCGGCCCGCTCCTTCACTCGCTCGCCCGCTCGCTCGCTCGCTCATTCACTCGCTCATTCGCTCATTGACTCGCTCATTGACTCGCTCATTCACTCACTCATTCACTCACTCATCCGCTCATTCACTCGCTCATTCACTCACTCATTCACTCATCCGCTCATTCACTCGCTCGCTCGCTCACCCGCTCGCTCATTCACTCGCTCATCCGCTCATTGACTCGCTCATTGACTCGCTCATTCACTCACTCATTCACTCACTCATCCGCTCATTGACTCGCTCATTCACTCACTCATTCACTCATCATCCGCTCATTCACTCGCTCATTCACTCACTCATTCATCATCCGCTCATTCACTCGCTCATTCACTCACTCATTCACTCATCCGCTCATTCACTCGCTCATTCACTCACTCATTCACTCATCCGTCATTCACTCGTCATTCACTCACTCATTCACTCATCCGCTCATTCACTCGCTCATTCACTCACTCATTCACTCATCCGCTCATTCACTCGCTCATTCACTCACTCATTCACTCACTCATTCACTCATCCGCTCATTCACTCGCTCATTCACTCACTCATTCACTCACTCATTCACTCATCCGCTCATTCACTCGCTCATTCACTCACTCATTCACTCACTCATTCACTCATCCGCTCATTCACTCGCTCATTCACTCACTCATTCACTCACTCATTCACTCATCCGCTCATTCACTCGCTCATTCACTCGCTCATTCACTCACTCATTCACTCATCCGCTCATTGACTCGCTCATTCACTCACTCATTCACTCATCATCCGCTCATTCACTCGCTCATTCACTCATCATTCACTCATCCGCTCATTCACTCGCTCGCTCGCTCACCCGCTCGCATTCACTCGCTCATCCGCTCATTGACTCGCTCATTGACTCGCTCATTCACTCACTCATTCACTCACTCATCCGCTCATTGACTCGCTCATTCACTCACTCATTCACTCACTCATCCGCTCATTCACTCGCTCATTCACTCACTCATTCACTCATCCGCTCATTCACTCGCTCATTCACTCACTCATTCACTCATCCGCTCATTCACTCGCTCATTCACTCACTCATTCACTCATCCGCTCATTCACTCGCTCATTCACTCACTCATTCACTCATCCGCTCATTCACTCGCTCATTCACTCACTCATTCACTCACTCATCCGCTCATTCACTCGCTCATTCACTCACTCATTCACTCACTCATTCACTCATCCGCTCATTCACTCGCTCATTCACTCACTCATTCACTCACTCATTCACTCATCCGCTCATTCACTCACTCATTCACTCACTCATTCACTCATCCGCTCATTCACTCGCTCATTCACTCACTCATTCACTCACTCATTCACTCATCCGCTCATTCACTCGCTCATTCACTCGCTCATTCACTCACTCATTCACTCATCCGCTCATTCACTCGCTCATTCACTCACTCATTCACTCACTCATCCGCTCATTCACTCGCTCATTCACTCACTCATTCACTCACTCATCCGCTCATTCACTCGCTCAGTCCTCACTCACTCCATCACTCACTCATTCACTCAATCAGCTCATTCACTCGCTCATTCACTCGCTCATTCACTCCACTCATTCACTCATCCGCTTTCATTGACTCGCTCATTCACTCACTCATTCACTCACTCATCCGATCATTCACTCGCTCATTCACTCACTCATTCACTCATTCCGCTCATTCACTCGCTCGCTCGCTCACACGCTCGCTCATTCACTCGCTCATCCGCTCACTTGACTCGCTCATTGACCGCTCATTCACTCACTCATTCACTCACTCATCCGATCATTGACTCGCTCATTCACCTCACTCATCCACTCACTCATCCGCTCATTCACTCGTCATTCACTCACTTCATTCACTTTCATCCGCTCATTCACTCGCTCATTCACTCACTCATTCCACTCATCCGCTCATTCACTCGCTCATTTCACTCACTCATTCACTCATCCGCTCATTCACTCGCTCATCACTCACCTCATTCACTCCTCCGCTCATTCACTCGCTCATTCACTCACTACATTCACTAACCTCATACGCTCATTCACTCGCTAACCATTCATCCTCACTCATCCGCTCATTCACTCGCTCATTCACTCACTCATTCACTCACTCATTCACTCATCCGCTCATTCACTCGCTCATTCACTCACTCATTCACTCACTCATTCACTCATCCGCTCATTCACTCGCTCATTCACTCACTCATTCACTCACTCATTCACTCATCCGCTCATTCACTCGCTCATTCACTCACTCATTCACTCACTCATTCACTCATCCGCTCATTCACTCGCTCATTCACTCGCTCATTCACTCACTCATTCACTCATCCGCTCATTCACTCGCTCATTCACTCACTCATTCACTCACTCATCCGCTCATTCACTCGCTCATTCACTCACTCATTCACTCACTCATCCGCTCATTCACTCGCTCATTCACTCACTCATTCACTCACTCATTCACTCATCCGCTCATTCACTCGCTCATTCACTCGCTCATTCACTCACTCATTCACTCATCCGCTCATTGACTCGCTCATTCACTCACTCATTCACTCACTCATCCGCTCATTCACTCGCTCATTCACTCACTCATTCACTCATCCGCTCATTCACTCGCTCGCTCGCTCACCCGCTCGCTCATTCACTCGCTCATCCGCTCATTGACTCGCTCATTGACTCGCTCATTCACTCACTCATTCACTCACTCATCCGCTCATTGACTCGCTCATTCACTCACTCATTCACTCACTCATCCGCTCATTCACTCGCTCATTCACTCACTCATTCACTCATCCGCTCATTCACTCGCTCATTCACTCACTCATTCACTCATCCGCTCATTCACTCGCTCATTCACTCACTCATTCACTCATCCGCTCATTCACTCGCTCATTCACTCACTCATTCACTCATCCGCTCATTCACTCGCTCATTCACTCACTCATTCACTCACTCATCCGCTCATTCACTCGCTCATTCACTCACTCATTCACTCACTCATTCACTCATCCGCTCATTCACTCGCTCATTCACTCACTCATTCACTCACCATTCACGCATCACTCACTCCTTCACTCATTTCCGCTCATTCACTCGCTCATTCACTCACTCATTCACTCACTCATTCACTCATCCGCTCATTCACTCGCTCATTCACTCACTCATTCACTCACTCATTCACTCATCCGCTCATTCACTCGCTCATTCACTCGCTCATTCACTCACTCATTCACTCATCCGCTCATTCACTCGCTCATTCACTCACTCATTCACTCACTCATCCGCTCATTCACTCGCTCATTCACTCACTCATTCACTCATCCGCTCATTCACTCGCTCATTCACTCACTCATTCACTCACTCATCCGCTCATTCACTCGCTCATTCACTCACTCATTCACTCATCCGCTCATTCACCCGCTCACTCGCTCACCTCCTCTACAACCTCATCACAGTCTACCGCGAGTGTTCACTGACGCGGCGATGACGACGATGATGATGACGACGATGATGACGATGATGATGACGATGACGATGACGATGACGATGACCATGACCATGACCCTGACCATGATGATGATGATGACCATGATGACGATGATGACGACGATGACGACGATGATGACGATGATGACGACGATGACCATGATGATGATGATGACGACGATGATGATGATGACGACGATGATGACGACGATGATGACGACGATGATGATGACCATGATGATGATGATGACGATGATGATGACGATGATGACGATGATGATGACGACGATGATGACGACGATGATGATGACGATGATGACGACGATGATGATGAAGATGATGACGATGATGACGATGATGACGATGACGATGATGACGACGATGATGACGATGATGATGATGATGATGACCATGATGATGATGACGATGACGATGATGACGACGATGACGACGATGATGACGATGACGATGATGATGACCATGATGATGATGATGACGATGATGACGATGATGACGACGATGATGACGATGATGACGATGATGACCATGATGATGATGATGACGATGATGACGATGATAATGACGATGATGACGACGATGATGACGATGATAATGACCATGATGATGATGATGACGACGATGATGACGACGATGATGATGAAGATGATGACGATGATGATGATGATGACGATGATGATGACGATGATGACGACGATGATGACGATGATGACGATGATGACCATGATGACGATGATGATGACGACGATGATGATGACCATGATGATGATGATGACGATGATGATGACGATGATGACGACGATGGTGATGAAGATGATGACGATGATGACGATGATGACGATGACGATGACGATGATGACGACGATGATGACGATGATGATGATGACGATGATGACGACGATGACGACGATGATGACGATGACGATGACCATGATGATGATGATGACGATGATGACGATGATGACGACGATGATGACGATGATGACGATGATGACGATGATGACCATGATGATGACGACGATGATGACGATGATGACGACGATGATGACCATGATGATGATGATGACCACGATGATGACGACGATGATGACGACGATGATGACGACGATGATGATGAAGATGATGACGATGATGACGATGATGATGACGACGATGATGATGACCATGATGATGATGACGATGATGATGACGATGATGACGACGATGATGACGACGATGATGACGATGATGACGATGATGACGATGATGACGACGATGATGACGACGATGATGATGATGATGACCATGATGATGATGATGACGATGACGATGATGACGACGATGACGACGATGATGACGATGACGATGATGATGACCATGATGATGATGATGACGATGATGACGATGATGACGACGATGATGACGATGATGACGATGATGACGACGATGATGACGATGATGACCATGATGATGATGATGACGACGATGATGACGATGATGACGATGATGATGATGATGACGACGATGATGATGACGATGAAGATGATGATGATGATGATGACGATGATGACGATGATGATGACGACGATGATGATGACCATG